GCCAAGTTTACTTTGGAAACAATGTGGAGAGGCCCTTCCGGTCTCGGGCTGCCATTCTGTGCTGAAGGACAAGTCTGACCAGCAGGCCGTGTCCACTGTGAGCAGCCACCAAGTCCCCTGGGCAGCGGTGCTGAGGACGCTGTCGGGCCATCCGGCCCTCACCTGCCGCGCCCGCTCAGACCTGGCTGGCTCCCGCAGAGCCACTTGCAGGAGCAGAATCCCGGAGGAGCTGCTATAGTCCAGCCTCACACAAGGGCAGTCCCTTCGAGGCCAGGCCAGGCTGATTAGGACAGTGGCTTTGCTCACCTCTCATTAAAGCCTCCACACTCCGTGTAGCGACAGATACAAGACCGAGCAGCGACACCCTGCGATAGAAACAGCACATTCCCACTGGCATTGGTCCCCTGACCTTCCTGGCTGGCAGCCGCCACGATGCACTGGCTTCGCTGCTGGTTCATAATGTACACGCACACGCACACGCACACGCACATGCACACACGCACACACAGCCTCGGTCAGCCAGGCTGATAGATAGAGGGGAGCAGCACGTGTGAGGGGGACACAGAAAGCAGGGAGCTCCATCCACTGGGCTGGGGAGGGCCAGAAGCAACGTGAAGAGGTCCCTGGCCATGAACTTTACAGTGAGGCGTGGTGAGGAATGATTACCAGGTTAAACATCGCTTGCTCGAGGAAGCATTCCCTGAACTCCCCAATACGTTCCAGAGCCCTAGTTTCACCCTCACAGCTTCCCCTGCTCTGTCAGAGCACATGTCTCCACTGTGATCAATTATTTAACCTGTTGGTTGTGAATTCACTTAAAATCTGCCTCTCTGAAGGGACGTTAAGTGCCACAAGGGTAAGACCATGCCTGTCTAGTTCACCACTGCCCCTCGGCACCACGCACGGTGACTGGCATGCTGTCCACTCTCATTAATTCATGTTGAATGTGTGAGCAAGAAGCTAGTATAATAACGGACCTACTAATGGAAGAACGACAGACCGAGCTCTACAGATCATTTAATGAACATTAAGCACCCACTGTGTGTCAGTCATTGTTGACAACGGAAACTGTTCTCAAGGAGCGGGCTCTCCAGTGTGGGGAGGCGCTCACAGTAAGACGATGCAGACAAGGAGCACGTCTGAGGGAGATCTGTCGGGGTTAATGACAATAGGGACAGCAACCCCATAGAGTTACTATTAGATCTATGGGCAGACGTAGTCTGGACTGGGTATCACAGGCAGAGGACTGGCCTGAACAAAGACCAGAGGTGTGTACCAGCCCGTGGGGAGCTGAGGGTGGTGAAGTTGTTTGGGGTGGGTGTGGACATGACCTGGAGCAAGATCATGGAGGACTTCAGTTAAGACAATATAGAGGCCCTGGCTGGGTACCTCAGTTGGTTAGAGTGTCATCCCGATATGCCAAAGTTGGGGTTCGATCCCCGGTCAGGGCACATACAGAAGGCAACCAATGAATGCATGGATAGGTGGAACGACAAGTCCATGTTTCTCTCTTTCTCTCAAATCGAGTGATTTTTTTTTTTAATTTAATTTTTTAAAAAGACAAGATAGGGTAGACCAGTATTTACTGATCTGCTAGTTGTGCTGTAGAGAAAGCAAGCACAAAAGGAATGAAGAGGTTGGGATGCTCTGGGAGGGCAGAAATGTGAGCTGAACCTGTGAATTCCACGGCTGAAGTCCTCACCATTTTCTCTCATTGATTTACCCTCCACAGAGCCTTCGTTATCAATTCCCACAGAGAGGCCACATTTTCTTATCTGAAACTGAAAAAACAAGGTAAGTTCCTTTGCAACCCGTTTACATATCTGACAGTGAACTCAGTCAGCCTGGAGAGTTACTTTGTGCCCTAGAAAAAGTCTTCTAATTGTGTGTTACCCAGATACCAGCTGACCGTCTAGCACCTTGACACCCACATAAGATTAGCTCAACCCCTTATCCTATCCCCTGAAGAAAACAAAAGCCATCCCCAAGATTTCTGCCAATTCCTAGGGGCCTTATGTTCTCACAGGCAGCTGTGGCTCCAGAATCCTGCTTCCTCAGGAGCCATTTCTACTCACATAGACACCAATATGAAAGTCAGCTCCTTCCTCAATTCCCACAAAGACTTCCAACTCACATAAAACCTTCATAGGTATAGCAGACTTTATGGGGAGGAGGGGCAGGTGTGCACAAAGAAGGGCTGAAAGCATAAAAATACCAAAAACGGCCTTCGTTATCAGGATGGCCTTTGGCCTCCGCCACTACCAGCAGGAGTTTCTATTGGTCTTTCATGGGCTGTCACTCTCAACTTCAAACCATCCCGAGGCTCCTTGCCCTTCCCTCCCCACTCTGCCGCCTTCTTTCTCTCACTTCCCTCTAGGGAGCTAAACCATAAGGCCCCTAGGAATTGGCAGAAATCTTGGGATGGCTTTTGTTTTCTTCAGGGGAGAGGATAAGGGGTTGAGTTAATCTTATGTAGGTGCAGCTCCCAAGAAATTGAGGTTCAGAAAGTAAATGGAAAAACTAGGACTTGAATTTCACACCTTATACTTTTTACACTTTTCTTAGACTCATAGCAAGACTAGAAAGGCAATCCTTTTTTTAAAAGAAGTTTTTAAATACAAGGTTCAGCCAAGAACAAGAGACATCAGTCTTTCTCAGTGTCAGATAACAAGTCTTCCTCGGAAGCCCCAAACTCTGAAATGCATCTGCTGTGCTGCCCATTTTCCCGCCAGTCAGACGCTGCAAGTGTCACCAAAGGGATATCCATTTCAAAAACACATGCTGAAGTGACCATGCCTAAGGAAGCCAGTATGTGAAAGCCTCAACTGTTTCCTCAGTGCTTTCCCTTCTGTGAAAAGACCGGATGTTCTTTTCTTCCTCAAGGACACTTTTGAGATGAACACAAGTGTAAATGTTAAGAAAGAGAAAAGTTTGCTTCTAGTCAGGACTCCTTACCTCCATGCTAATAAAATTCAGCTGAAAAAAAATAAAGATAAAGTGGTTGTGTCAGACTTTCTGGCTCAGTGAGATGCTAGAGAAACATTGGCCCTGGGGAAATGCTAAGTGAGATAAGATAGTGCCCCAGACTTCCGGCCCTCTCTGGGTGGGCAGAAGAACGCATGGGCCTAAGCAAATCACTGGACATGTCCCTTCTTCTTTTCAGTCCCCTCTGTGGTCCACTCAGACCCTTGCAGGTATCATTGCCAAGCACCAGTTCTTCAAGGATCAGACATCTCACCCCCACCCCCACCCCCAGGGCTATAGGACTGGCTCTCTCTGCTTCTCAGGGAACCAATGTGTGGTCAGGTCCCTGCACAAGAAATGGCCGGTGCCTCAGAAACCAGAGATTCAGGGGTTCGGACAGCCTCTTTCCATTTGCCTTAAAGCAGGAATAGCCATCCTCAGGTCTGGATGGGAACTAGTTCTTACGAGCTTTACATGCAACCTTTGAAATTAGCAACCAAAAATAAAATGGTGCCATTCTGGATCATATTTGCACTGATGGATCTAATATAATATTAAGGACACTTGAGGGCTGACAACCTACCCAACAACAAATTCAGTAGTTATATAAATTCCTTCCCCTGTAGGATTGTGTAGACCTTAAGGGTAGATAGTGTTCTTTTTTCCCTTGACATTCTGTACGCCACAGTTTTCCCCTCCTCTACACACCCTTGGCCCTTGAGACATGCTTATTGAATTTTGCTCGTGAACTCTGGCTCCAGTGTTCCATCAGATTAGCCTCATTTCTCTAGTGCCCACCTACCACCCAACAGAGTTTCTGATGCCCTTTTTTTTTTTTTTCCAGGAATGACCACCACATCACCCTCTATGAGCTCCATGACCAGGCCAACCACAACACGAATCCTATCCCCAACCCAAAGTCCAACTACAACCCGAGTCGTAACCATGGCCCGAATCCTAAATGCAACCCCAACTCCAACCACAACCAAAAGCTTGGCCAACAGAATCTTCCTCAGCCCCATCACAGATGCCATTCAGATCCTGCTTGTCTTTCTCGCCAGCAAACTCCTCTTCTAGAAGGAAGCTAGGGGAGCAGTTGTTCCTGCCTCTGCCCCCATCCTCCAGCATTCAGTGCCCAGCCAGGGCTCCGTCATGTGTGTGAACGAAGGCCTCATGTTCTTAAATATACAACTCTACACCCGCTGCTTTGGGCCCAGAGGGAGACTTGGTTGAGAGTAGCCAGTCCGCTCACTGGTGGACTTGGGGCACACAGATGTTCAACTGGATCTTTAAGGACACAAACTAGGCTTTTTGTAACTACTCAGACCGGGTCTTGCTATAATCTGGAATTCTGGCTCTATGTTGACAGCCAGTTTCATAGCCAGTCCGAACTTTTGTTCATTGCCAAATGATTCCTCAGTGTCCCCAAGTCTCTCTGGGAAGACTCTTTCCTCACTTTCAAGATGATCTCCGATTTCTGACCAAACTCACTCCGGTTACACAGAATGTGCTGACTCACATGACTCAGCAGGAAAGGAGAAACAGCCCTCATGCTGCGGGCAACACCAGCAGCATTTGAACGGCAAGGAAGTAGGATGTACCGCGTCTGAGCAGCCAAAGATAGGGGAAGATTATGGCAGAAAGGCACTATTTTCTATGTCATACAAATAAACTATATTTCAAACAAGACGAATGTGTTAAATTCAAATGTCTTTAATAAGTGATTAACTTAAAATACAGAGAATGTCTAATTTATCCAAAAAACAGTAATAGAATGATAAGAGTATGTATGTTTTCAAGGCCAGATCTACAGGTAAAATTTTCTCAGTTTTAATATTCCTCAAGTGCAAACTCATCACTTTTCCCCTAACAGTGTTTTCCACTAAGAGAAATGAGCAAACTATTTATGATATTCATAATATAATGTAAAAGCAAAACAGAGCATGCTATTTCCAGTAATAGCCAACAAAGTTTTCTTTTAATAATTATGCTAAACTCCAGGATGCCAGCATCCAGGGACTGGCCTTCCTCAGGGACAGTGTCTGTCAGTTGCTTCTTTTTTCTCTGTCACTAGGCCGGACATTCCTATTTTGTAGGTGTTAAATTTTTTTAAAACTGGACCTTCTGAATATTGTAACGTGGTAACTCACGGTGGTGGTTTGTTGAGTCGTCCATTTGTTTAGTGACTTTTTCAAACCAGTTTTGCAAAGACTGCCTTCTTATTGCGTGGTCACTGAAGTCTCTTTCCTGTTGCCGCAGCAGTTAGCCAGTGACCCGACAGATTTTCTCAAGTGTCCAGATTTGACAGCCTTTCTTCATTAAGCATTCCCCAACAGACATGAGGTGTCTGGTTTGGTTTGGGGGTTTTTAATTAAATTCTGGAGTTCTGAAAAGGGTGACTGACAGTTTTTGCCAGCCCAATGGCTGCTCCAGTGGAGGGACAGTTCTTGGAGTTCTTTATTCTACCGTTTTCTGTGACACCCCTCGGCAGCTGTTAGGCTCTGCCAAGCACCGTGCTACGCAGTTTGCACGCACTGTCTCATTTCATCCTCATAGCAGCCCTTTGAGATGGAGCCATTTTACAGACGAGGACACTGAGGCAGAGAAAGAAAGAACCTTCCCAAAGCCAGTCAATGAGTAACATGAAGCTGCACCCTTAACCGGGCACCCTAAGGGCTCCCTGAGAGGCTCCTGCATAACCCGAGATCCCCCGAACAACTGGCTCCCTGGGTTGTACGACAAGGAGAGGGTGCAGGGGTCCCTCTCTGACACAACGAGCAGCCGCGTGCTCCCCGGTGCTCCTCCACACCCCGTCCCTGCCGCCGCCTCCAGGGTCAGCCGAGGTGAGGCCTGCCTGCGCGAGCCAGGGGCGAGTTTCACAGTGAGCATGTGGGCCAGCCTGGCCCCCTCTCGGGTTCAGTGTGGGAGGTGTGGCAGACATCCAGCAAAGATATTCTCGGAAGCTGGGAACCTTCTAGGCTCAAGGAAACTTGGGTGAATTCAGACGAGCGGTGCAGAGGCCCGGTAAATCCCAGCTGCACTAGCAGGCGGACGCCCGGTAAATCCCAGCTCTGCTGCAAAGCAGAAAGGTGGCTAACAGGCGGCTTCACACTCTCCCGCCTCAGTTTCCTCATCTGTTAGGTAAGAGGCATCTGCAGGCCTCAATTCTGATTCCTCTGTCCTAGGCAGGCGTAGCTATAAGGCCTAGTCAGGGATGGTGAGCAGGTGCGATCTTAACGCCTATCTGGCTGATTGAGAGAGGTTCCGGGGGGCACTGCTGAGGACTCTGGGGTGAAAGCCAGGCTCAGAAACGGAGCATTGTACTCAAGCGATCTCTTCCTGGGCTCCGAGACAGGACTTGGAGCCCCACAGGTTCCAGGTAGCTGCCATTCCTGGTCACTCCCCAAGCGGGGTGGGTGGCGGAGTAAGAGGAAGGGCTACAGAAATACCCACATTCTCACTCTCAGGAATAGCTCATCTTCATCCTCATATTTGTAATCAGCTACCCGATCCTCACAGGGAAGTGCGGTACCCCCACGGGAAAAACACGCACCAGGCAACTGACAGGAAGCCCAGGGGCTCTAACCTCAGGCACAGCAGAAAGAGGAACAATAGGTGGACTGTTTACTCTCACTTGCCCAACCCTGCTCGTGTACTTTTCTTGTCTGTAGCGTCAAGCTTTGTAAATTCAATGCATTTTTAGTCTGTGATAGAAACAGCAATTGCCTACCCATTATAATGTGTTTTGAGAACGTGGGAAAGAAAGCTGATGTCTTGCAAATCCCATTACCTCAAAGATCACACGCCAGAAAGAGTCCCAACTTGTCAATGATCAGCTCAAACACTAGCCATTCAGAGCAGGAAAAAATTTCAGAACAGGCAGAAAATGTAGATAGTATCCTATATTGTCTACCAACACCCATATTAGCCTGTAAAGTAAATGTTAAAAATATTAATAATGAAGTAAAGCTTATTACTTCATAAGAGCCAGAGTTTGGTAGTTATCTTAAAACATAAACTCTGAAGCTAGACTGCCTGGGCTTAATTTCATCTGATTTTGTCCCTTATTAATTGTGGGACCTGATACCAGTTACTTAACTTTCATGTGCCTTGGTTTCCTCATATGTAAAACAGGGAACAAAACAGTAGTCACCTCATAGGTTATTGTGTTGACATTAAATATGTTAATATATGTAAAGCACTTTGAACAGCATCTGGCACAAAGTAAACACTATGTAATTATTTAATGCCTAAACAAGCATCACAAATGATACATTGATGTATAAGAAAGCCAAGTATTATAACAATATAAATATATTCAATAAAATAGTGTCTATAACAAAGACTAAAATTACTAATTTATAACTGTTATAAGTGGCTAGTGTCTGACTTTTCACAATCTTTCTCCCTCCAACCCTGCCTTCACCTCCACCCTTCAAGCTTCCAACTAGAGAGTACTCTAGCCTTCAGGGTCAGCTCCTAGGCTCTCTCCTTTCCAAGAGAATCTAAATAATGGGCAAAGGGCTTACATTATTCTACAGAATAAATAGTTGAATAAGGAGAGTGAAAATTAGAATTATTTTACTTCTGATTGCTGGGCTGTATTTCTTTGAATGAGGCTCAGCAGTGAAACTAGGACATATGGACTACCTTACCCCTTCTCTGCTTTTATGTAAGTTATACCCATATAAATATAGAGTGAAGGTAAATATATACCTGATATGTGGGAAATAATTTAACATATGCCAAAATATCCACATATTTGTCTATGTGTACTTATACAACCTATATTTAAAAATAACTTTAGACCATATGCTTGAATTCAACAAACTCAAAAAGCCTTTGGCTAAAGTAACTAAATATGTAGACAAAGCACATTTAAAGAGCTTGAGGAAATTTTTGAAATCATTATTTTAATTGTTGAGCATGTTTTTCTTTTTAAGCCAGACATAGGTTCAAATCTAGGCTCTTCCACTTACTGAGTGACTTCGAACAACATAACCCCAGATTCCTGGTCGGTGAACCAGAGCTAACTCCTGCCTTAAGAACATGGTGACTAAGACACCAACACGTAGTGGCTGGCATAATGTTCATTCACAAGCCAATGCATGCCAAAAAGCAGAAGTTAATTGCACAAATGTCAACACAATCTCAAATGTGGGCGGCATATGTTATACCACACCATCTGGTTAGGGTGCATTGTTTTTCCTTTTCTAAACACAGGAATGGAGCCTTGACTTTCCCCCTAGTGCTTTGGGAATCATTAAGGGTTATGATGGCAACAAACTGACCCCTTGTTTGCTGAAAAACACACATTGCCTCGGTGTTGCCACAAATCTGTTCAGCTCTGCATTCCATGAGAAACCCTGTTCTCAGAGTCCAAACGGGTGGGACAATAGAAAGCATTCTCCGCAAGACGAGCTGAGGCCCCCTCCGCCTGGGTAAACTTACTCCCCACAAGCTGGGTCAATAATTATGAACCAAATTTGCTGTTTATCCTGTTATACAGGAAGAACCCTGTCAGTGAGCCCCTGAGCCTGGGCTGCTAACAGATGGCAGTGTGGTCTTCGGGACTGCAGTTTACTGAACTCTAGTTCATCTTTACTTAAATTAGTAGTTGGGGGCTAAAACAAATCTTACCCACAAATGGAAATGGAAAATTTTCAAGAAGGTAAAGTTAGCCAGATATACCGGTTCGGAGGATACTGAGTGGATTTCTTTGTGTTGTGGTGGCTGTTCTCTAAGCTGACACACATAAAGAATAAGCCCCCTTCTGAAGTATGTTTCAAAAGTTTAGTATTAAATTTCAAAAATTTTACCAAACTGAGTTCACCCGGTTCTTTAGAGATGGCAGGCACTGTCACTCGTTCAATAACTAACTGTTCAGTACCTGATATGTAGCAGGCACTGGGCTAGGTCCTGGGCAACAAGAGTAAATAAGGCAGACAGGGCTCTGCCCTCATGAAGTTGACATCCTTGTGGTTGGGATGGACAATAAACTAATAAGCAAATAAATAAAACGAAAGGAGACATAGATATATAATTTTAAAACTGCAAGATAGGGGAGTATATAGGTATTATAATAGAA